CCCCTCTTGGTTCAACGTACTACATTGAATACATCTACAAAAACTAATAATTCATCTTTAATAGCTTAGAAGCATCAGCAGAATTAAAAGAAGTCCTCTTAGAGGCCACAAGCTTGTGTGTCAAACTGAATTTTGGAGGTGCTTTAGAGGGGTTCGTATATGCGTGCCGAGAGAATAATTAAACAATTGTATTTTAAAACAGACAAAGAACCACAAATCTAGCAAGATCTCCTTCTCAATAACAATCAAACAGAGGACATGTCTGCCCAAATACTAAATAAATAATTAACTCCAAAGTATATAACAAATAGAACATGTAAAAGAAAAAAAATGCACAGAGGATATATTTTCTGATATTTTATAACCGTATGACCTTCTTCGCAAAAGCAATAACATGTGTAGAATTCCTCAAAAAAATGTATAGACAGCTACATTCACCCTGGGGGGAAACTAGTGAGGAAGACCATCAGGACCAGGCTGGTTTCCTGGGTCCAGAGGTTTGGAGAAACTTCTTCCTTTTATTTCATCACAGCTGTCCTGTGCCAGAAGTTCTGTTGACCCATGAGAGAGGCTTCATTTCAGAAACATCAGGAAGACTAAAGCTCGTTGCAGGGATCAAGGAGAAACTCCTGTTCATCACCACCAGCTCCCTCACAGGGAAATCTTCAGCACTCCACTGTAGACCTGCCCCAGAAGATGGTTAATCTCAGCATTTCATGAACACTGTGATGGAGGCCTTTGGTTTGTGTCATGGTAGAAGTACTTAGATAATCCTCAGAGGCTCTGGACTTTTACATAAAGATATATTCAGTCCTGTAGGAAGTTATATATTTAAATAGATATTATCCTCTCTGGTTACTCTGGTATGGATGACTCTGGATTACTGATAAATAACACACTATTAACAAAAACCACTATGAAAGAATTCCAGATCAGAAGTTTTTAGTTCAATATACAAGTGACCTTCAACCTTTGACCTCCATCAGGTATTATTTAATTGTATCAACCCCCCCCCCAAAAAAAAACAAACAAACAAACAAA